TTAGTCGCCCACCGGTCGGCGACCATACCGTGACTTTGGACTGGGTGAGTCAGTCGCAGTCGGACGCGGTTAGGAGCTGGTGGACCTGGGACTTGGGGATGCGATGGTAAGAGTTAATGTGTGATGGTGGTTTTGAGGGATGGGTGGTAAGAGTGAATGTGTGATGGTGATTTTGAGGGATGGGCAAATTGGGGATGGGTGGTAAGAGTTGATTTGTGATGGTGGTTTAGAATTGGTAAGAGTCTCGCGACTCGTTCTTGGTAGCCCACTGGTCGGCGACCATACCGTAAATTTGGACTGGTTAGGAGCTGGTGGACCTAGGACTAGGGATGCAATGGTAAGAGTGAATGTGTGATGGTGGTTTTGAGGGATGAGCAAATTGGGGATGGGTGGTAAGAGTGAAGGTGTGATGGTGGTTTAGAATTGGTAAGAGTTTTGCGACTCTTTCTTAATACCCCACTGGTCGGCGACCATACCGTAAGTTTGGACTGGTTAGGAGCTGGTGGATCTGCGACTTGGGGATGCAATGGTAAGAGTGAATGTGTGTTGGTGGTTTTGAGGGATGGGCAAATTGGGCATGGGTGGTAAGAGTTAATGTGTGATGGTGGTTTAGAATTGGTAAGAGTTTCGCGACTCTTTCTGAATAGCCCACTGGTCGGCGACCATACCACAACTTTGGACTGGTTGAGTCACTCGCAGTCGGACGTGGTTAGGAGCTGGTGGACCTGGGACTTGGGGATGCAAGGGTAAGAGTGAACGTGTGATGGTGGTTTAGGTGGGATGCACTGGTAAGAGTCTTGCGACTCTCTCTTAATAGCCCACTGGTCGGCGACCATACCGTAACTTCGGACTGGTTGACCCAGGCAACCCACGAAGTGGAATGTACGCAAATTAAGCGTCTAAATGAAAAATTGAGTGATTGAATCGAGAAGTCGCGACTTCGCTCGCGATATGAGCCACGTATTGAAAAACGAACATAACCTCCCCTGCTCGAAGATCCACAATATGAAAACGCAGTCATAAAAGTGCCACATTAATGACGGCTTGAAGGAAAAGTGGAACATCTGATGCTAAACGACTCAGAAAATTAGCGTAGCTGATTCCCTTGTTGGGATTCTAATTAATTAGGAAAAGTGGAGCAATCTGGCGCATTCTACAAAATGGATGCTGCTCTTAAGAGTGAATTTCTCTTCTCGATATTCTTTATGAATTATTACCTGTTATTTGAGCTGGAGCCATTTACGCTATATGAGAAAGTTCGGTAGAGTTTCGCGCCAAGTACTAACACATTAATAATTAATTAATTATGAAACTCAAAGCAAGATGGCGCGTTTTACAAAATGGACACCCTCGAGAGTGAATTTCTTGTCTCGATATTCTTTATGAATTATTACCTGTTGTCCAAGTTAGAAGTAAAGAACACGTTTATTAAATTAATAATGAAATGGATTGATGAACACATTAATTAATTAAAAAATGGATCAATGAGCGCGTTCATTAATTAATTATGAAAAGGATTAAAGAACACGTTCATTAAATTAATAACGAAATGGATTGATGAACACAGTAATTAATATATTATAGAATGGATCAATGATCGCGTTCATTCATTAATTATGAAATGGATTAAAGAACACGTTCCTTAAAGTAATAATGAAATGTATTGATGAACACATTAATTAATTAATTATAAAATGGATAAATGAACGCGTTCATTAATTATTTGTTAAATGGATTAAAGAACACGTTCATTAAAGTAATAATGAAATGGATTGATGAACACATTCATTCATTAATTATAAAATGGATCAATGAACGCGTTCATTAATTAATTATGAAATGGATTAAAGGACGTGTTCATTAATTAATTATGAAATGGATTAAAGACCATTTTCATTAAATTAATAATGAAATGGATTGATGAACATATTAATTAATTAATTATCAAATGGATCAATGAACGCGTTCATTAATTAATTATGAAATAGATTAAAGAACACGTTCATTAAATTAATAATGAAATGGATTGATGAACACATTAATTAATTAATTGTGAAATGGATCAATGAACGCGTTCATTAATTAATTGTGAAATGGATTGATGAACACGTTCATTAATTAATCATGAAACGTAAAGCAAGATGACGCGTTTTACAAAATGGACGCCCTTGAGAGTGAATTTCTCTTCTCGATATTATTTATGAATTATTACTTCTTGTCCGAGGTAGAGCCATTCACGTTATATCGTTCATTCGTTCCGGCATACTTATGAACATTGAGGGCAGATGGTGGGAAAAAGTTGTATTGTGTTGTCACGCGGCTCTTGCAGACAAGATTCTTTCGCAACTGGCAACTACATGTTGGCTACATCGTAATCTGGGAACAGTTGAGTCATTCGGAATCGGAAGCTGGGATTTCAAAGGAGAGAGTGATGACGGACGAAATACAACCCTAGTAGCACAAAATATTTGTCCCATATTTTCTATATATTTAACGAATATCGTGCATTTTCTAAATATTTACCAGACATTTGAAATATTTGCCAAACGTTTACTATAGAATATTGTCTCTATAATATTTATATAATATTACCTCCATATGTTTTCCTAATATTTTTCAGATATACAAAATATTTCGTCTCATTTTAATACAAGTATCTTTTAAATATTATGTGCCGAATACGTTATAAATGTTTTAAGAATATTTAAAATCAAAATCACACGTTTTGCTCCCATAATGAAATAAACGTTTATAAAAAGTCCTGACACTTCCTTGAAAATATATTTTCTCCAAATCTTGGCCGCCATCTTGCTCGACGTTAAAAAGGTATGGCCGAAGTCTTTCATCGTCTGGCACAGAAATCGCGAATGAAGTTTCCCACGTCTCGGTAGAACGAGCCGAGTGGTTTCCAAGCTACCGTGTTTTACAGTTATTACACCGAGCTCAGTCTTCCTAGCAAGGATCACCGTAAACCAGTCCGCTAATTGGACACGTGTAAAACTGCAAACGTGTCGCTCATTCGTAGGAGGCTTAGGCGAGGCGTTGTCCCACTTCCATACTTGGCAGAAATTCGAATAAAGCTGCCTTGTATTTTTACTCGGCTCCGTTATCCTCTTTTATGCCATTACAATGTTCTAATAACGATTAAAAATGTCAAAACTGCATTCACTTAGTTCGATTATTCTCTCTTAAGGGAAATAACAAACGGTGCCATGGTACTTTCCATTATTTCATTTTAATAATTATTAACAAGTAAAAAGTTAAATAACATTGCTCGGTGCCTTTCACGTGAAGACATTGAATAATTTAACTGGAATACTTGTTAATAATTTATTTCACTCTTTTATAACAATATGGATAAGCTAACGTGTTTCCGTTTTACTTCGGTGAAGGTAAATAAGAAACAGTACCACTTCCCAATGTTTTATTTTAATAACTATTAACAAGTAAAAATTGACAAATGTAACTAGAAGGCTTATTAATAATTTATTTCACTCTTTTCTAACAATATCGATAAATTCATGTGTTTCCGTTCTTCTTCTGTGAAGGTAAATAAAAAACAGTACCACTTCCCAATGTTTTATTTTAATAACTATAAACAAGTAAAAATTGACAAATGTAACTAGAAGGCTTATTAATAATTTATTTCACTCTTTCCTAACAATATCGATGAGCTAACGTGTTTCCATTCTTCTTCTATGAAGGTAAATAAAAAACAGTACCACTTCCCACTGTTTTATTTTAATAACTATTAACAAGTAAACATTTTAAAACCTAACTAGAAGACTTATTAATAATTTACTTCACTCTTTTCTAACAATATCGATGAACTCCTGTGTTTCCGTTCTTCTTCGGTGCAGGTAAATAAGAAACGGTACCACGATACTTCCCACTGTTTTATTTTAATAATTACCCCTAACCTAAAAAGTATAATCATATAGTGGCTTCAGTGCAGGTACGTCGACTGGTTTGACGAAGGAATCCGCTTGTTTGATTTAAGGCCGGCACTCCTCGGGGAAGCTTGCCGTTCCGGAAGAGCGTTCGGTCAATATCCCGGGGGAGAGTGAAGGAAGGAGAGAACCGGACTGCGGATATCTCCGCTTCGAGTGTCGTTGGACGAGGCGAGAGGAGGATCACGCCCTAGGAGGAAGTAGCGGTCCAGAATCTTCGACCCCGCCGGGTCACGAAGCGGAAGGTACAACCCGTGAGCGTGAAGTGACGGCGAGTTGCAGGAGCATTGCACCAGTCACGTGACTGAGGCGGTTGGAGCAAGGAAGGCGACTGTGGCGCCATCGGACGGGGACTCGCGGAACTCGCGGTTGAGCCGGTAAAGAAGAAATTTTCTTTGACTTCACCATCTTAGTAGTGAAGTATCAGAGAGAGAAAAACAGTGAATATGAATATAAGAGAAATATAAGAGAAGGAGAACTTAGTGAAGTATTAGAGGGAAATGGTGAAGATAGAAAATATCGTTAACTGGATTTTTTAGTTGTCAAAATCGGAATGAAAAAAGGGTAACGAGAACATTGCACGTTTATTAGTGCGATAACATGAAGCAAGGAGGATAAAGGATGGATACTGTCGTTAATTTGCATTTTTAACTGCAAATTATCAGGAAGGAAAAGGAAGTGACAAGAACGTTACGCTTAAAGAAAAATGGAGAAACATACTTAGCGTCGCCAAGCGGGGATTTTCGAAACTATCTACGTTTCGATTAAGTTGGTAAAGAAGGTATCTGCTTTCAGTTCAATCTTATCACTACAAGACCATTATCAACTGTCGAGATTACGTTCGTAATGAAGTATACACAACGTATCTCCGCGTCTCAACGAAGTAGATGAAGTAAATTATTTTATACAGTGATAATAATTACCATGATCATGAAATGAAAGGTACGTGGCGTGAAAGTTGGGTATAGAAGAAATTGCTAGAAATTTGTTGCCGGGACGAATGCTGGCGCCATCGGACGGCGAACGAGGGAGTTTGTGGCTCAGGTGATAATGGGGAACTCTAAGTCGCTTCCTTACCGGCGGAACAAACTCTCGGTTTTGCTGTATTATATTCAACGCACGTGGCATGCTGGCGTCGGTAAAGAAGAACGGTTCGAGGTTATCGATGGAGATACCGACACTTCCTCCAGGTGTGAAGGATGCAGAGGATGCGGTTATCATGGGGCGAGTCTTATGTTCGACAGGTAAGCACGATTTAAGTGGCATGCAACTTTATTACATGAAATGTGGAATTTTATTAGGCTTGGTTTAGCTGTAGAGCTTAGAAATATTAAAAGTATGGGTAGCCAGAAGTCTGGAGGTTCAAGATAGTTTTTTATTCACATTGGACTGTTCACATTCTAGTTTTAACAGAACTGTAAAAATGTTCACATTCAATGTTGGCAAAATTGTAAAAAAGGTTCACGTTCAATTTTTGACAGAACTTCAAAAAATGTTCACGTTTAATTTCTGTAAAAACTGTAGATGTTAATTTTGAATTTTTTACGAAACTTTAAAAGTGTTCATGTTCAATTTGTAAAAAAGTTCTACCAATGTTCTCATTCAATTTGTGAAAAAGTTTTACCAATGTTCACGTTCAATTTTTGACAAAACTGAAAATGTTTACATTCAATTATTGACTAAACTGAAAATGTTCATATTCAATTATTGACAAAACTGAAAATGTTCATATTCAATTATTGACAAAACTGAAAATGTTCATATTCAATTTTTGACAAAACCAAAATTGTTCACAATCCATTTTTAGCAAAACTAAAATCGTTCACATTCAATTTTTGACGAAACTAAAAATGTTCACATTCAATTTGTGAAGAAGTTCTAAAAATGTTCATGTTCATTTTTTGACAAAACGCAAAATCGTTCATATTCAATTTTTGACAAAACTGAAAATGTTCATATTCAATTTTTGACAAAACCAAAATTGTTCACATTCCATTTTTAGCAAAACTAAAATCGTTCACATTCCATTTTTGATGAAACTTTAAAAATGTTCACATTCAATTTGTGAAGAAGTTCTAAAAATGTTCATGTTCAATTTTTGACAAAACGCAAAATCGTTCATATTCAATTTGTGGAAAAAGTACTGAAAATATTCACGTTCAATTTTCGACAGAACTACAAAAATGAAACATAAAAGCTGTTACCAAAGACATGGAACCTCCTTATAACCTCACATTCGAAATGTTCATATTCAATTTGTGGAAAAAGTACTAAAAATGTTCACGTTCAATTTTCGACAGAACTACAAAAATGAAACATGAAAGCTGTTACCAAAGACATGGAACCTCCTTATAACCTCGCATTCGAAAAGGCGTTGAAAATAAATACGAAACAGTACATTCGTGAGACATTACGAAACTCGATGTTCACTGAAACGCGTAATGGTCACCTCGGAAATTCCGAGCGCCGGTTTCAAATGGATACTTATTCCCACCGGAATTTGGAACGTGACCATGCGACGCCATCTTGTCTGATTTATTTAACGGGATTCCACTCTTCGGAAGAAAATCAACGCTTTAGAAATCTCCTTCCCACAATACTTCCTCTCCGAGACGACGTTTCATTACAATCTGAACTATGAAACTCTACTTAACGGTACCCCCGATTTTTTTATTAATTATAATAATTTCGTATTTTCATTACCGCGTCCCACATCCACGTTCGTTAAATTGTCTTTCACCTGCGATTGTTTATTGCGCTTTTCTCCTCGGTGCGATATTTCTCCATGAGGTGTTATGAAATTATCATTAGGAGACCCGGTAGAGTTTCGCGCCAAGTATACATATTTGCAGATTGTTTATTGCGCTTTTCTCCTCGGTGGGATATTTTTACTAAAGATTTTATGAAATAATCATTAGGAAACTGGGTAGAGTTTCGCGCCAAATATACATATTTTCATATTGTTTACTGCGCTTTTCTTCTATTATATACACTTGCATACGTTGTATACGCATGCGCGACGCCATGACGAATATATATACAAAAGTTAAAATATTGATAAAACATTTCTCCAAACTGGGTGCACCGAATAATTTTAAACTTTAACATGTGATTATGAAGGCCTTAATGAAGGTCTTGAAACTCACGAAATTTGATTTTTCCGAAAAATTTCTAATTTTGATTCTTATCGGGGATACACTAATTTTTTTTTTCGAAAAATGAAATTTCGCGAGTTTCAAGACCTTCATTAAGACCTCCATAATCACGTGTTAAAGTTTCAATTAAATTGGGTGCATCTAATAATTATACATGTATGACCCTTTCATATCACCTTAAGGCGTTATCGTTACACCGAATAATTTCAAACCTTAACACGTGATTATAGAGGTCCTAATAAAGGTCTTAAAACTCACGAAATTTTATTCCTCGCCAAAAAAAATTCATTTTTGTTTCTTGTCAGGGATAAACACTAATTTTTTTTTTTTCGAAAAAAGAAATTTCGGGAGTTTCAAGACCTTCATTAAGACCTCCATAATCACGTGTTAAAGTTCCAATTAAATTGGGTGCATCGAATAATGATATTTGTATGAACCTTCCGTATCACCTTAAGGCGTTATCGTTACACTTTCCTCCGCACTTCGCCGTTTTATCGCTCACGTATTTTTTTTTCGAGCGTTGCCGGAGCCAAGGGGAAAAAATGGCATTCCATGTCTGGCCGGAACTCTCCTTTTGAGGCCTTCGACGCTTAAAGTACATCGTTCGTCCTGGTGAATATGCGAGCATGCGAGGTCAAGGGAAGTGGTTTTTCAAACTCTTTTCCCCGAGGCCATGTTTCCTTTCCTCCCCTCGGCGTGCTTCTCTTTCCGCCATTTTTCACGGTCTGCGCGGAGGAAAATATAATAAAAATGGCGGCGTCTATCCCTTGGAAGGGAATTTTCGACGTATACCGCCTATCTGTACACTTGGAGACATCGATGCCCTCCCATCCTGCACAGGCGATGCCGTATCTGCAGGGGAGACATTCATGTCCGCCATTGCACCGAATCGCTTCAAATTTTACAACGTGAATGCTTAGGCTATAAGGAAGGTCCTGACAATAACAATATAACAAATAGTAATGAGATAAAAGCAAGTATTATGTAGTAGGAACGTGCACTGGGAGACATCGATGCCTCCCATCTTGCACAGGCGATGCCGTATCTGCAGAGGAGACATTCATGTCCGCCATTGTACCGAATCGCTTCAAATTTTACAACGTGAATGCTTAGGCTATAAGGAAGGTCCTGACAATAACAATATAACAAATAGTATTGAGATAAAAGCAAGTATTATGTAGTAGGATCGTACACTGGGAGACATCGATGCCCTCCCATCCTGCCAAATTTTACAACGTGAATGCTTAGGCTATAAAAAAAATCCTGACAATAACGATATAAACAATAATAATGAGATAAAAGCAAGTATTACGTAGTAGGAACGTACACTGGGAGACATCGATGCCCTCCATCCTGCACAGGCGATGCCGTATCCGTAGGGGAGACATTCATGTCCGCCATTGTACCGAATCGCTTCAAATTTCACAACGTGAATGCTTAGACTATAAGGAAGGTCCTCACAATAACAATATAACAAATAGTAATGAGATAAAAGCAAGTATTATGTAGTAGGAACGTACACTGGGAGACATCAATGCCCTCCCATCCTGCACAGGCAATGCCGTATCTGCAGAGGAGACATTCACGATAGTCACACGACGATATACATTTGCTATACCTATAGACCTAATTTAGACGATTAATTTACGTATATTCCACTTCATGGGTTGCTTGGGTTCCTTCGCCTCCACTCAGGTGGAATAAAAATATTTTCAATGACGTCGATTAACCATTGGTAGACGTCTACTAGAGCTATTATATATTTTGTATGCCTCAAGAAATAAGTGGATATTTGTAGATCAATAGTGGATATATAATTTTCATCTACAATAGACACAGATATTTATATATATCCTTTAGATATTTTTTTAGGTGGACGATAGACGATATACATTTGCTATACCTATAGACCTAATTTAGACGATTAATTTACGTATATTCCACTTCATGGGTTGCTTGGGTTCCTTCGCCTCCGCTCGGGTGGAATAAAAATGGCGGCGCCCTTCCCTCTTCAGGGCGACGCACGGAGTGCATCGGCACTTACGCGGCGTGTGCATCTGCGTACCCGTTACCCATCTCCCCTCCACTCGTGACGCATCTCTGGTAAACTCCTGGCTAATGTTACAACCGAGCCGAAGAGGTTATACCGGTACCCCGTTGTCAGTAAACGCCGAGCCAGCGCGACGGGCGCTGCGTCCCCGTGCGCCTCTCGATTAACTTTTCCCTAAATACCAGAGATTCCCTAAATTCCCTAGAATGCCCATCCCCGAGTCTCTAGTTTCTCCTCTCGAGTCGCCGAAAACGACGCCTTGAGGAGGACCTCGACCCTGCCCTTGAAATCCAGAGACGGGATTTTTTCAAGTATGTATATTTTACGGGAGTTGTTAATGTTTAAGTTTACGCCTTTTTCGACTTTATTTTTTCATTTAGAATTGGACTAAAGCGAATAGTTTGGAAGAAGTGGGTTCTTAAGGTGGTATGAAAGGGTGATTCTATGTGACGGGATTTTTCAAGTATGTATGTTTTATGGGAGTTGTTAATGTTAAAGTTTACGCCTTTTTCGACTTTTTCATTTTTAAGTAATCGCGGATTAATTTAGAAGTTGAGTAAAACGAATAATTTGGAAAAAATTAGTTATTAAGGTGGTATGAAAGGGTCATTCTATATGACGGGATTTTTCAAGTATGTATGTTTTATGGGAGTTGTTAATGTTAAAGTTTACGCCTTTTTCGACTTTTTCATTTTTAAGTAATCGCGGATTAATTTAGAATTTGAGTAAAACGAATAATTTGGAAAAAATTAGTTATTAAGGTAATATGAAAGGGTCATTCTATAAGGCATCGAAAAAGATGGCGGAAAAACGCCATATTGTATTAAAAATTCACGAATCTTCATCTTAAATAACATGAATAGACATAACACACGAAAAGGGAAGAAAAGACGTCGAAAAAAAATTTCGGAAAGATGCCATAATGTTTTAAAAATTCACTAATCTTTATCTTAAAAAACATAAATAGACATAACACACGAAAAGGGATAAAAAGACGTCGAAAAAAATGCGAAAAGGTCCCATAATGTTTTAAAAATTC